TGACCAGTTGCGCCAACAAGACAGCTCCGCACAGCTCCAATCTGGGCACGGTAATTGTCCTAAGTGGCGCCACTCGCGATCGTGAGCACAACCACTCAACCTTGCGACCGCTTGAGGTAGCAGATACGACGTATACACACGCTCCATATTCATCCATACTTGCATCGCTAAATCCATGTATCTCAAATGCGCCGCCGAAAAGATGAACCAATCTGGGAAATTGCAATCTCTGCGTCTGTTTAAAATCTGAAATTAAGTTATGCCAAGATGTGATTAGAGATGCTGGCAAACTTTCATCCCGACGCAGGATCCCATGCAAGGCCGAGTGTCTTACCGATATTGCTGCCGTCATCGAATTTTAAAAATGTTGTTTGTTGGCATCGGGAATTTCCATTAGAACATTTGGATCGCTAGAGCACCATTTACGAAGCTTGAATTTTCCTTTCTCCAAAAGACCCGTTGTTTGCCGCATGATTTCGAGAACTTCTTCTGCGGATGCTCCACCAGTAATTAGATCGTCTACGTAGAAGTCACGACGCAAAATCTTAGAGCCAATTGGGCACGAAGTCTGCTCGTCTGCAGCAAGTTGATGCATAACGCGAACGGACAAAAAAGATGCAGGCTTTGTTTCATAAGTAACCGTGTCAAGTTTAAATGCCTGTATATCATCGTGAGAGGAATTCCGCCATGGGATGCACTGCAAGAAATTGTCTGGCTCTGAGACCCGAACACAACGATACATTTTGCAAATATCACCTGTCAGGGCCACAGGAAATGTACGAAAGCGACACAGTGTATTTGCTAACTTTGGCTGAATCGTTGGGCCAGCCATGAGGATATCATTCAAAGAATATCCAGACGATGTAGCTGCCGAACCATCAAACACGACCCTCAACTTTGTTGTACTGCTGTCTTCTTTGAGGACGCAATGATGCGGTAGAAAATATCTACAATTTGCGAGCGATTCAGTTTCAACTTTGGACATATGTCCCAAGTCCAGGTATTCTTGAATGAATGAAGAATATTTAATCTTTAAATCTGGATCCCGATCAAGCTTTCTTTCCAAATTTAAAAACCGGCGATGAGCTTGAACGTATGACTGTCCAAGCAGATCCAAGCTAAGCTTGGTTGGCAAACGAACAGAGTATTCTCCAGTAGACAGGCGAGTGCAATTAGCCTGTGTTTGACGACTTGATCATGGCCAGCCTCAAGCTCCCAAAAACTGCGAACCATACGCACTATTTGGCTATTAGAATCGACATCTCCAACTGATTCGTGTGCTGCTGCTACCAGAACTGTTTGATTATGTAGAGAGCCACCTCCTGTAACTACCCATCCGAATTTGGTCTTTTGCAGTAATGGCAATCCAGGAGCCACCTTGATTTGGCCAACACACAACAGCTCATAGAAAAGGCACCAATAAGCATGTCAATTTGCTGAGGCCGATAGAATGCAGGATCTGCTAGCCGTATGTTGCTAGGAATATTCCATTTGGTAATATCTACCGAAAAGTTAGGCGTGATGGCAGGAGCAATCAGTGCAGAAACGTCTGTAGAATAATCCGATGAATTCGATTTTAAGCAAAGTTGTACAACATATCCATCAGAAACGAAATTAGTGTCACCTAAACCTGACACTGAAGTAGACAACTTTGTTTTTCGCAATTGCAAGTGATGCGCAAACCGAGAGGTGATTATATGCAGCTGCGATCCAGCGTCTAGCAGTGCACGACAAGGAACCCAGGTGCCTGCGTTATTTTTTACATTAACAACCGCAGTAGCCAGGAGCACAACATCCGAAATGAGATTATGGGCAGGCTCTAATGACAACGATGGCGAACTAGGGGCAAGCGCGCTGCGCGACAAAAATGATTGCAAGTAGGCAGGAGGCTGTAAACCAGAACCAGACGGCTGCTCAGACGAAACGATTTGTGAAGCTGCATTGTGGAAATGCAGTAAGCTATGGTACTTGGAGCCACACACTCTACATGATCCTGAGCTATATGTTCGCATTCTATGGCCTTTCTTCAGGCAATTGATGCATAAGGCCATCCGTTTTGCCTCCTTCAAGCGAAGGGGCGGCGATAAATTACCAAAAAGCGGGCATGTGTAAATATCATGGCTCGAATTATCACAAAACGCACAACCATTTGAAAGATTGTTAGTGGCGACAAAGGAACGTTTGGTGTTAGTATATTTCTTTCCCACCTGAGAGCTCGGCGTATACTTTGCCATAGCGTATTCCACGTTTTCCAATTTTTGGCAGCGCTCCTCTATAAAAGTTGCAAACTGGGCCCACGATGGTATGACGTCCAAAGGTGCAGCCTCCTCCCATCTTGCCTGAGTAGCGTTATCAACGTTCTCCAAAACAGTATGTACGATGATGCTGCCGGCAATATCCTGCGCAGAGCCCAAAGTCAAAAGCGCACGCATGTTAGCGTTGACTTTGTCCGACACCTCACGAAGTTTAGCAGTTGTTTCAGCCCTTTTAATACCCAAAATCTCACGAATGTGTGCCTGGAAAATTAAACGTTTATTATTGAACCGCCTATTAAGTAGCTCCACTGCCACTTTATAATTTGCGCTACTTATATCAAGCGATTTGATTGCGTCCAACGCCGATCCTTTAAGACAGGAACGTAAATGTTGCAGCTTTTCCACGTCACTTAGATTCTGGTCGTTGGCAATAACAGCTGTAAACATTGATGAAAAATCCGCAGAGGCGAGACCTGTTGTGCGCCGCACCTAATGACGATTCTGCTGATGCCTCTGGCCGTACTGTTGATGACGGTGGCATTGACGCATGCATTTTATTTAAGGCAGTGTTCATGCGGACGTCTAAACTGGCCAAAAGTTCAGAAAAGTTGCGATGCAGACTACTTCCAATTTCGTCAAAATCCAACTGTTCCAACTTATCATGCACCGAATCAAACGTGGCCTGCATACGCGGCAATATTTTCAGCTTCTCACGAATCTCATGTTCACTTTTTGAATAAAATTCACCATCAGTAAAATTTGCATCAATTGATTGGGACCATGTATAAAGTGCAACACAAAATATTTTTATCAACAGCAGGCAGCGCGCTGTCTACAGCTGTCGACATTGACGTCGACGCTGCTCCCGGCTGCGACGCAGGCGCCGACTCTGCAGCGACTTCAGCAGCAAAGCCAGTGAGAGAGTCGATACTTTCCAACGAGGAAGTGAAGATCAAAGCGTGCGACGAGAACTAATGCGTGCGTTAGAAACTTCCCGAAAAATAATGTTGGATGCTGCTGCTAAGCCTGCAGGCACCGTTAGATTTTAAAGAGAGACCAAAAACGAACGATACGCGCGCGACGGCGGTCAACTGTTGCTGGCTGCCGTGCCGTTATATGCGTTTATACGTGTGCTTGTATGTGTGTAGATGCGTTGACTGCGTTAACGCGAACGAAATATTGGTACAGTCAACTATGCACATATGTATGAGTGCATGTATATATGACGATTTGCACTTTGCACATGTAATGTGAATATGTATGTATGTATGTTACTTTGTGCCGATTTGCACATCAATTTATATTGTCACAACCGATTTTAGCGAATATATGCACGAATATATATCACGTCGGGGTCACCAAAATTAGCAGTTATAGGCTTTTATATAACTGATAATGAGCAAGAATTAATTAACAACTGTGCGAAATTGTTCAATTGAATGAAGAAAAATAGAAATTTGAGTGACAAAGCAAACAATGAGTAAAGATTACGTTAAATGGCTCAACTTTCTGCGTAGAGCAAGATTACAAATTGAGTGATTTGATGATCGAATTAAACAAATGTATTTATGATGAATTTTTGACATCTGACTGTGGCGACTGCATAACCAAACAGCCAGAGTTGAAGGCCGATTCCTTACTTAAATTTTAAAGGGGCGGTCTGGGTTTGTGTTGACCGCGTGTGAAAGCGGGCCTGTTCGCAGATTCTCTATTAAAATTTTAAAGAGCAACAGCATCCGAGGTCTTTACGATAACTCTTCTCCTTCAATAGTCCCGTGAAAACTTGTCCGTAAACGGCTACCACGGAGGATAACGCGAGGAAAATCCATGATCTCGTATTGGCAGATCGCCAATTTAAAGTGCGCGGGATAGCTGAGACAGTAGGCATCTCAAATGTCAGCGTGGATAATATTATGCATGAAATATTGGGATGAAATTACTTTCCGGGCCAAAATAAGGAGTCCGTAGCTCCATGTGGGTAGCCGCACCTTTGGTTAGCTGCAAGATGGACATGCGCTCTGGGATAGGAACACCAAAGCCATGATAGAGAATGTAGCGATATAATAACACAGAGAGGAGCAATGTTTGGACAATAATTGCGAGGACAACGGGATGGCATGCCAATGCGAGTAGATAGAAAAGTTAATGCAAGAGGTGCGCGACAGGCTACAAAAGGCCACAAAGGATTATCTTCACGCGATGAGGAATCCCTATAGCTGAGTGTTGAAATGAGTGTGGAAGTGGCCACTGGACCACTTACATAAATGTAGTCTCCGCCCAAGCTCTCTCCGCAGTTGCTCACACCTACATAAAAGTAGGTACAGAGTATTTCAAATTCGGGGCATCCGGCTTTAGCTTTAACATTTGTTTTACATCAGGCTCATGTCTTACACTTTAGAAATAACTATTTTATGTTAATTGAATTTCTAGTACAAATATTTAACACATAAACAAATAAATGGTATTCAGTCTTACCTCATAAAAGTATACTATATGGTGCTTATATAAGTACCTTTAACACGAGGTCTGAGGATCAAATTTAGGAGGATTTGTCTTTTTGTCGTTTTGCGTGCAGTCTTTTTAATATCTCGTCGGGTACTGGGTATAACAAAAAACATTAATATATCAAATGTTTCGACTTTATTTTAACATGCGACTTATGCATTCTGAATGCTCATGTTACATGTTATCTTTCACTCGCATCAATAAAAGTACTCTAACTCGTTTTATATATTTTCTTTACAGTGAAGTCAATTGAACACACCCAAGTATGTGGAAGGAATGGCTTGCAAAGGAGAGGAATAATATTCCTCCGATAATGTCTATTATGTCCATGTCATTTTGCATATTTATATGGATTATATCTGTATGTGAAATTATGTCAGGTAAGAATGATCGGATATTAATGGGTACTAACAATGTACTTTTGCATATAGTTACAAGGTGGTAAGTAAAGTAACCCGCAGGCTTAGAAAATCGTCATTTCATGAAGGTAGTGAATCGCTTTAATAATAAACTTGTAATAGGAGCAACCGAAAATGTATGTTCCAGCCGAGCTCTCGAACATTGCAGTTCGAGAGTGTTCGAAGGTGTTTCATACCCTTTACCTGAAGGATAAACATTTTGTGATCGATCCGTCAGTCGTCGGCTGCCGACCTTGAATTCACCACTCCGGCGACCGCCTAGCATAGGCATAGAATATGTTTAGATTGGGCTTAGTATTTAGTCTTCTCATTGTACTGCAATTGTGAAGTTTGCGCATTTGTGCCCCCAAAGTGAAACCCTACATCAAATCAAACCATCATCGGCATTTGGTCTTACACAACGTCCACCCCACTTCAAATTCATTGGTCCTTCGAGTCGGATTCTTCAATCGACTCGCCCAGATAGCATCGGTGGATTCAAGTGCTAAGTACCATCTGTGAGAAAAGCAATTTCAAAGTGCAAGTGCCAGTGCAGTGTTGCCAATTTGGCTTTTTTCCCGTCAAATCTGGTTGTTTTCGAAATGAGATTGCGGGAAAATATTCGAAATTGCAGGAAGCGGGAATTCTGGATTTTTACAAATACATTTAGCTTTTTTTCGCTTTATGTAATTTTGCCAACATTTATGTTAAAACAAGAAAGGAATGCTAAAGTCGAGCAGGCTCAACTCTTAAATACCCTGTACCACCCCACAAAAAAGTAATTAAATTAATTAATTAAATTAAATTAATTAAGTAAATTAATTTAATTAATTAACTAAATATTAACTAATTAAATATAAAATATTCCATGCATGCATACATACATTTACATCAGAATCGTGCCTTATGCGTGTTTGTGTACTTGTACATATGTATGTATGTGTGTGCATTGGGCCTGGTTATATGGCTATAACTCTCTTTCCGATCATTCTATCATAATGAAACTTGGTATACGGATATATAATTACTAACCTAATGTGTTAGTTTAAAATTCCAAGAATTACGGGAGTTATAGAAAATCGTTAATAGGGGGGAGTGGGGGGTTGGATCAGAAAAAATTAACAAACTCGTCCTTTCTCGGTCTTAGGAGAATCTGTATACCAAGTTTGGTTATTCTAGCTCTTATACTTTCGGAGATCCTTGCCTCCTTCTGTGTGTTCCATGTGCACTCGCACAAAACTAATATACCCTTGTACCCTATGGGTACAGGGTATAAAAATGGAAACGAAATGGAATCATTTTTTTAAATCAATATTTGCCTATGTGTGGTTAATGATGACAGATTATTGGTTGATTTTTATGCAAAAAATTACTTACAATTACTAATTATGTATATAATGCCGCTCGTTTATGACAGTAGTGGCACTCGCTTGTGAAAGTAGGCCCTACGTATTGACAAAGAGACTGCTGTGGTTATACTACACATGACATCACTAATTTAAACCATCTTTATCTCAAGAATACAATAAAAAATGCCGTGATTTTTGGCTCACTCACAAAGAAACCCAGACTTTCTATGGGACAAACAAAATTAGTTTTGTAAAGCTACTGAAGAAAGAAGCAGCTCCGTACCTTTTTCTTGCTCAGCATACAGCAATAGCGCAGATTGACCGCTTTTGAAATGTTCACCAAGATGATGGAAAAATGTATTTTCCAAGGTTTTTTTTAAAGCATTTCTTGTAAAAATAAATTTAGCTTTTTATTACGCTTTTTTGCAATAATTTTTAGCTTTTTTTTTCATTCTCCTTCCCGACAAAAACAGCTTTTTTTCCTTCTAAAAAGTTGGCAACACTGAGTGCCAGTGCAATCCAAAGAAAGGATAAATTGTAGCCGCTTTTATGTAGCTTATATATATATGTATTTTACATATATAGATATAGATTAGACAGATGCATGGCTTCACTCATAAGGTACGTTGAAAAGAATGGAATCGAATTAAAATGAGTAAGTGGAACATTGAAAATGTAATGAATTTGTTTGAATATGAATGCTTCTTGTGTCTCAAAGCATACGACATTCATTGAAATGAGTTAGAATAAATGAAACGTAAAACGGAATGAAACAATTGACATATCGGAAAACATTCGATTTATTCGAGTTACTCTAGTAACTCTACTCTAGATATTGTAAAATCTGCTCAGTCATTTGCTGCTTGGTGTTCAACGAAATCGTATAGGCGCATTACGAAGGAAATATGGATGGAGGGATAAAAGAAGCCGACGATTCTGTATGTATTTTTCATGCGATTTTTTTTAAGATTTTGTTTTATTGTTGTTCCAGCTAGTAGTGTGGCTTCGGAACACACAAACGCTAGAAATTTAATAACAGAAAAGCGTTGTCTATTAGCCACCAATCCTGACAAAATTAACCAGATATTGTTTTTAAATGTTAATATAAAATAAATATGTTATTTTAGTAATAAGTAAAATAAATACAAATGAAAATATAAATATCAATCGTTTTATTGACTACAGTTTTTCTTTCTTTTTTACCGGTTTTTCATTCGAATCATTCGAGAACTACGTCTAAATTTTTCGTATTGTCACTCCATTTAAAAAACTACATTTTTTTTTTCTACTGTGTAAATACACAGCTCAAAACATAGATTTTTGGGCTTCTGTTGTCGTGTTGTACACTTAACTTTCCAGTTCTTAAGATAATCCGGCGCCACGACAAAACATTCTCACCACGCCTTTGCTCGTCGGCCGGTTTTATCGCTCTCTGGCGCTCACACCCACACACACACACACACTGAGCCCTCAGACAAAGGATCCCCATGTGCTGGAAGATGCACTGCAGGGAATCGGTGCTACAGTGGAAGGTGTGATGGCCCTTATTAATGGAGGCCAGAGATACATCAACCAGCTGATTAAAGATGAGCTGACCAAAGTGCTAGCCCTAAAAGCGGCGACATTAACGTTGTGCACCAACACAAAGCGCACAACCTAGTGCACCCAAACAATGTCGTTCCTGAAGCAGCGCTCCCAATTGGGCACCCCAAAAACGTCCAGAGATCCAAAGAACAACCAAAAAGCTACCCCACCGAAATAGTCTAAAACTCGCGACCAGGATCCCGTCATCGCACCGAATGAACCGGCGCTATCACAACGTAGCGATGAGAGCCAACAAACTATGGAGCGCGGTAGCGATGTTCGGGCTTGCTGGACCAGGGTCCAAAGACGTAGGCGAATGCCAATTCGCAGACCTGCTAAATGCTGTCAAATTTGACCCAACACTTCAGACCATGCGCGAGGACGTCCAAAGCATTCGCAAAACTGAGAACGGTAACCTACCTGCCTACAGCTGAGCAGACCTATGACTCACGGCGTAGGCGAACTCCACACAGCGGCGGAGAAGGCATTACACGGGATTGCCGATGTGCATCCCTGCTGGAGCAAGCCAAGGCTAAAATTCGCGACCTGGATGACCTAATAACTAAGGAGGAGATTTTGCGCAGCAGTAGAAAGCATCATAGAAATGGCAAAATTAGAATCCAAGGCAGTAAAGTCTCTGCGCAGGACGCGCGGAGTGCAACAAACTGCGGTAGTATCCTTTCCTGCTGATAAGGCGAGGTCGCTCCTCGACCTAGGTAAAATCCGGATTGGCTGGGTCGTATGCCGGGTTCGAAGCGTCATCGAACCCGCACATCGAACCCGCACCCGCGTTGAGGGTCATCCAACTCAACTTAAACCACTGCAGCGCAAGATCTGCTCCACAAAACGATTGAAGAGCACTCTATCGACTTGGCCATCCTGAGCGAGCCGTATATAACACGCTGGCAGCCCTAGATGAGCTGGTGGTGGTCGTAGCTAATCGCAGGAAGGTCATCATAGCTGATGATTTCAATGCATGGGCCACTTCTTCTCTCTCATAAAAACCAGGAAAACCACCGGGCGAGTCCTCCTCATACAGGCCAATCACTTGAAGAAATTAGTCTGGGCCACTTTTGTGGAATATCATGTACGACGGCGTTATATGACTGGATCTACCAGCTGGCACGGAAGCAATCGGTTTCGCAGACGATGTAGTGATAGTGGGGGTTGCTTGTCGGCTGTCGCGGGGATTTGCAATGCTGCTATCGATAAGATCAACAACTGGATCAACGCAGCTGGATTAGAACTGGCACCACAAAAATCAGAGGCTGTCCTAATCAGCAGCCGCAAGATTGTCGAGACAGCACAATAGGGAACTCTGTTTTGGCTTCCAAGCGCGCCATCATGTACCTGGGAGTAATGATAGGTACAAGGTTGTGCTTTCGGGATCATCTTGCCTATGCCAGCAAGAAGGCCGCCACAGCGGCGAGAGCAAGGAAGCAGATTATTGCTCTGTGGAGTCACACGGGTGATCATGTTGTATGAAGCCCCCGTCTGGCATGAGTCCACGAGGACCAAGAGCTACGTTAAACCACTAGCATATCGCCCAGGCGCATTTAGGACCGTCTCCGATGACGCCGCCCTTGTTATTGCGGGTATGGTACCCATCGACCGGCTCGAAAGTGAGGCGAGCGAGCTTCATAGAAGCAGCGGCGGGGATAACACAGTGACGCCCTCGCATAGCCTTAGAGAATGGCAACGACGATGGAACTCATCCCTCATGGGCCGTTGGACACACCAGCAAATCCCGAACGTTATGGATTGGACGCAAGTGGGCACGGCTGCTTTCGCAGTTACCTATTCCGCTTCGGCCACGAGGACGCAGCCGAATGTACCTTCTGCGGGCGTGGTGTAATCGAGAACCCCCACATGTCACTTTCGTGTGCCCTAGATTCGAGAGGCCTAGGAAACACCTTAACAGCTTGTTATGGGAACCGGTATCGCCTGCTAACTTCACCAGCAGCATGGTGGCGTACGAAGATTGGAGCGCGAACGTCAACGAGGACGGATGTAGACGGATCAACGCTTGGGCAGAACAATGGTCAACGG